CAGCCCGGTACGACGACTTGGTCGCGCCTGTTACGACACTGGCTAACACGCCAATCATCCCCCCCAATGAAAAATATTTTTCTACGCCACTGACACAAACACACACACGCACGCACACACACACACACACACACACACACGTTACTCAATAAAAAACAAAGGAAAAGCGAGGAGTGATTACAATAGTTCCTATTGCATTACATGCATAGGAATTAAAAATGTATTTTCTACATTATGAATAGACTCTTATCTATCTATAAAATCGATTAAATTAGACTTTGGCGCCACCCTTGAGTAGGATGGAGATTTCCCCGGCTCCTTTGACTGGGGACGCGGGGCGCGAATTTTTTTTCCGTACGAAACATTTACATGAAACTCCACTCGGGCCGTCTCGGCTGAATCGACCCGAAAATCTCATTGCAGAATTCAGGAGGTCAAAAGGTCATCAACAGATAAATGTCTCTTATACACACATCAACAGATAAACGTCTACAGAACAACTTCTGAGAGAACGTCGCTGTCTGATTTTTAAAAATACATTGATGTTACCATGTTAATACCAATGGGTCGTTTAAAATGACATATAATATTGATTAAGCTGCACGAGTAATGAAAAGTGTTATTTTAACTTGAGTTACATATTATGACAATTTTAATTTTTTAGTTAGGCCTGGGTTTTGCATAATTACTAGGCCTACTAAAAACGCTTTCTGGGAAAAGCACAAAGAGTAATGAAAAGCGCGTTTTTCTTCATCACTGATCAAATAAAACAGAATGACAGTTATTTTCAAATTAAGAGAAGAGCTGAGAATAGGCAGCTCTAAAATACTGGATGCCATAAGACCTGCCAAAATGGCAGAGCACCAAATGAATGTAAAAATGAGCTAGTTATTAATATTAGGCATAGTAATCGGCAGGTTCTTGATTACAAGGCTAGACCAAGTTAATTACATGTAATGCCGAAATGATGATGATAATAATAATAATAATAATTATTATTATTATTATTATTATTATTATTACCTGTACGTTAAGGGGAACTTAGACAAAGGGGAAATAACAAAAAAGATTTCCCCTTGGGCTAGTTATTATTTATAGGCCTTGAAATAGTATCTGTAGGTTCTTCATTACAAGTAGGCCAAGGTAATTAATGCTGAAATGATTATTATTATTATTTATTAATTATTATTATTACCACCTTAAGGGGAACTTAGACAATGGAGGAATTAGAGGACAATTAAAAAAACGACGTTAAGGGGAAATAACACAAGATATTCCCCTTGGGCGATTATTATTTATAGGCCTAGTAAATAGTACAGTATCTGTTGGTTCTTCATTACAAGGCTTAGGCCAAATGTAATTAATGCTGAAATTATTATTATTATTATTATTATTAATATGCGTCACGACATTGCGAAGTGTCTGCTCTTGTTCCTCGTATCGTACTCACTCGAGTCAATCCGAGATGGCCCGAGTGAAGTTTCATGCAAATGTTTCGTACGGGGAAAAAATCGCACCCGGGGCACCCCCCACATTTGAGAGCTCAAAGGCGTTGCACCACTGGAGAAGACAATTATGGGCAAAATTTATCATTCTTCAGACGACAGTTATATTATGCGTACTGAAAGTAGGTCAGAACATGAACAAGTAAAATAAACTAAACTATAGGAATTTAGGTCATCATAAAAGCGTAACCCTACATTATGGTTGTTGTTGGATCATATGGGGTCAAGTCGGGTGGTCGCAGTCATAATATATTTCTGTTAGAATCAAAGCATCGGGCGATACAACTATTTTCCTCATATATAAGACCCAGAGGTGACGGAACTAGGGGGTGCTGTGTTATGGAGAGTAATGTGTGACCGGAAATGGTCTGCAGTCAGTTGGTTGTTACTATGCGCCAGTGATGTTGGATTGTATATAGTACAGCAATATGAAAGTAATATGTAGGCTTAATGAATGAATAAAGTTCGGAGTTTGTCGGGTAGTGAAATGATTATTTCACATTTAAGTGCTCCCTAAATTCATAAGTGTAAGCTAAATTACGGTGATTAATTTAATTAGCGAAGATATGGAGACAATTATTTCGAATCCCTCTTTCCAAGAGGGGATGCAAATGCTTTGTGAAAATGAATACGCCGCGGTACTCATTTTCACAAAGAAATACACACAACTGGTTAGCTAACAATTATGCCAATGTTACATGAATACCTGGGAAGGAAGGTGCAATCACGTTGTTACCTAGCAAACGTCTGTAC